ATTCTATACTCTGTTCCTGTAAAGGCAGCTAGCAATCATGTACTTGTTCTATAATATTTCGGAAGGTTTTTGATCTCTATAATAGATACTTATAACATTCCTACAGATGCACTAAAGAGTAGAAAACGTAGACCCAAAGTTTATGTATTAGGGATTCCCTGGTATTTAAAACCAGACACAGTGAACCATATGCAAGAATCATTAATCAATTTCATTAAATGTCCAAATGTGAAATGCACTAAAAATAACCCTGTGAACTGAGGGAAGATTGAAAGCTGAAATGCCATTGTGTCAAAGGTGTAACAGCTTTTGTAAGTAAGCTGACAGCATTATAATTTTTATGTCAATGAAGCAATGATGCAAAAAATACACAGCATCATGTTAAGAATTAACTCTGGGAAATGTGGACTCCAGTAGCATACTCCATATGGCATTGTTTATATGTGAAACAGACAAAACATAACAACATGACCAATAATGTTTTCTAAAATAATTAATTTAGCTAAAGAAATTAAAAAACAGAATGTTGTGACAAATATGCTGTTTACATTAGGTATTGGATCTTTTTTTTGCTCCATGGAAACACAAAACATGCTGAGTACAGAGTGCTGCCAGCCAAACATAAACATGGAGACCACAAGTTGATTAAGAAATGCAAGAGTGCACTATAAACTGATAGACTATAGTACATTTTGCCATAATATAATATGGTCATTGCTTGCTGGAAGCAATGCATGATGGGATATGTAGTCCTGAGAAATTGAGATTGCATCACATCAAGCAGCAGAAAAAAAGATGCAATGCACATTGGGAATCCATTCCCAGAGCATGGTTTTGATTCATTCAGTTGTTCTGTGAAAGCCAATACCCAAAGGTGCCTGCATGTGCCAATGTCATTTTTTTGGGGTTGCCGTAGGGTAATTAGAACACAGACACCCTTCAGAACACACGATTGCTAATAAGGTACAATAGGCAATTAACAGGCTTAATTAAAAAGGATAACATTGTTTGTTTTATTAACACTTACCTCCAGACAAAGAGCTCAATAAACAGATTAAATTTATATATGAGAGCTGTTGTACCTGCCAAAGGTTTTGCATCTCTGCCCATCCAGGCCTCATATTTACACATCTTGCCCTGTCTGACAGGGAATGTGACCTTATCTTTTTTCTGCTGCCATTTCTGCTATGTTTCACTTACAGGTCTTTCCACATCCCCACACTGACTGGACAGTGAGAAAGGAGAAGCAGAACACTGATGAGCTCATCTCATGCTGGTCTCTCTGCTTTTTCCTGCTATCAGTATGCTCCTTGTACTGCAGCACACCTGATTGGTTCCTTGTGCTGCTTCTTTCTCCCTCTCTCTGAACTCTGCTGTACAGACTGTACAGCCTGATAGCAAGTCAAATTTAGATACTTACACTGTTTACATCAAAACAATACATTTAAGGATATATTAATCAATGAATTGCTGCACCCATATTTAAAGTGTAAAAAGAATCGCGGTCCGACTTGACGCCCCACATCCCTCATATGCCCCCCTCTACCAGTACCAGGGGGTTCTTGTCCCTGCAGGATTCTGTATATATTTGAAATTGGTGCTGCAGTGTGTGGCTCTGCCTGTACAGCTATGTCATGTATTCACAGACCTTTTGACAAGATTTGTGAATGGAGGGACTACAAGTCCTTATCGGCGCTGCAGCAGAGAGACATGAAGTTCTGAATGGAGTATACGTGTAATGATGTTACCACACTTGTAGTGCATTTACACTTTCTTTCCTCCCTGCAACTGGAAGTCCGTAGCTCAGTACGGACAGGGGCTGGGAGGAACAGTCTGCAGGAGCCAGAGCATTGCACCCACGATCCACTGATCATAGTTGCAATTCTTTGCTGCCTTCAAGCCAAAGAAATCAATAAATGCACATTTTCTTGTATTAATGTGTGTGCATTCACTATTTTTTCAAAAGATGGACTTTGCCTTTATTTTGTGATTTTTATATCTGCCTAGATTTCATTTTTAAGTTTTACTCAAAGATCCACATGGACTATTTGAAACTCGTTAGCCATATTACTTCTTGGGTTGAGGCCTTAAAGTGAAACCATGCTTTGCCCATGAAGGGCAAAACAACAAGTTCACTTTGACTTAGTTCTCCCAATGAGCACACGTTCCTCACCTTCTTTTTGAGCAGAATGTCAAGAAAGTTAAGGAAAAGTAAGTAAATTGTTGGGAGATGTAGGGAACTGTAGCAAGCCTGTTGCTTTGTCTTAAATGAGCAGAACACAGTTATGCTTTAAATGCTTTATATGTAAATATGCAAATTAACTTAAAAAGGACCTTCACCCATAACTTCAAAATAACAAAGGCACCTTTAGAAATGTTTAGTAATGACAATCTACAAACACCTACTTCTAGATAATTGCAGGTTTTTTATTCTTTGCATACCTTATTTTTCTTTTCTTCTCCAGTCTTCTGACGGTGGCCATTTTAACTGAGGGGAGGTTACTAGCTCTCCCGTTTACTTCCTGGAACTCTGGCACATGTGACTAGGACATGCGACCATGTACATCTCAGGAGAGAAAAATGCCTTTACCTTAAGAGATCACAGATGAGATTTCCCAGCAATGCTCTGCTGATGTAACCTTCCCAGGATGCAATGCACGGGCACGATTACATAATTTGTGCCAAAGTGGACCAGGAAGTGGAAAAAAAATTGTACGTAAAATACAAATATGTGTGTTTAGCTATCAAATGTAAGATGATTTCATATCAGCATGCACAGCTGTATGGTGATGTGATTTTTAGTGAAAAGGGGTAAAGGTCTGTTTTAAAGCTTTGCAAGGAAGCTCATGAACTATGGTTTCTAAAACCTTCCTACAGGTCTGCAAACAACATCTGATGAACAATTACAACCATACAAACAGCATTGACAAGACTCTACAACAAAGACTTGATAATCAGTAATAAAAATGCATTGCAAATAACTAATTGTGCAGAGTCTACAATAAAGACAAGATAATTGGTAATAAAAATGCATTGGAAATAACAATTCCTGCAGTATTTTCCAATTTGAATGCACTATTTAAAAGAAAGTGCCTGTAGCAGAAACAATGCCTGACTGAAAAATGATCTTGCTTCTAAGTGCTGTAGTCTCAAAGACGCAGTTCAGTTCAATTATGAACCCTCCTATTAATCACAATGCTATGACAGTATAATAACAAACTTGATAGGAAACGTCATCAAAACCTGATATTATGTAGAATTACTGGATTTTATCCCCTCTTGAGTTCTCCTTTATTGTCTTAGGGGTCTATTTCTAAAAAAAACTGCATAGCTTATTAATCCAGTGAAATTGTAGTGACATTCATTATGTGCGAGTTAACTAGCTGTTCGGTTGAATGTTCTTCAATAGGTATATTTATAAAGAACACAGTGGCTGGGAAAAATATCACATTATGGCCACAAGATAGAGCAGAGGATCATAGGAAATAAAGTGTCAAGATATACTGTTACAATTCTAGCGATAGCTGGAGGGAATGGGCATATAAATGTAACCAGAGATACTATGTGGATAGCAATGGCTACATTTATATGCTCATTCCCTCTAGCGGTCTCTTGAATTGTAACATTGTATCTCCTTACTAACATGTATTTATTCCCTATAATCCTTACCTCCATTTAGGGAGCTAAGGAGTTCCATCTAAGGATCTGTTCTTTATTAAAGGAGAACTATGGGGTTTTCCCCCAAGTTATCCTTAGTGTAACGGGAGGACACAAACTAGCGTCCTCCCGTCACCCTATGCTCAGTATACCATGAGCTACAGCTTGCAGTATACTGAGATGCCGCAGCTGAAGCGGATCCCGACAAATATGTCTGGATCTGCCCAGCTGCGTGAGTGACAGCTGGCTCTGCCTATCTAGAGGCAGAACCAGCTGTACCCACCCCCTCCCCCGTCCGTTCCGCCAGTCAGCGCTGGAGGATCGGACCGGGGAGGGGGCAATCCAGCCACTCCCCTGTCACGGCAGAGAGCTGTGACAGGATCGAGAAGTGAGCGAACGCCGGTATGTGTTCGCTCACTTCCCAATCTACTGCGCCGACCTGTGACAGTCTCATTGTCATAGGTCGGCTAGAACGATGAGGTGAGTGAAAAGCACTCACCTCATAGTTCTCCTTTAATATACCTATTGAAGAACATTCGACCAGAAGACAAATTAGACTAAGAATATTCATTTTTGCCCCATTTTCATGCGCTGGTTAATGCACACAGAATAAATGTTCATGCAGTTTCACTGAATGAATAAGCTATGCATTTTTTTAAATAACTAGTCCACTTATGTATAGACTATGTCTATGCAAGCCTTCTTTTCAGTGTTACAAAGGTGCAACTTATATTGATATATGTTTGATTTTGTAGCCAGCATTCTAATATGTATGTGAAAAAAGACTGAAAAATATATATTTCTGGAAATGGCACAGGTTTATTGCTTAAGAATTAGCTTTACAGAAGAAGGGAGGCATGGGATAGGATCTGAAGTTGTGTTCACACATCCAAGCAGGTACTAAAACATACACAGTAAGGAGTAAACAGATTCCACTTTTTAGGGGACCTGTGCTAGAAGCATTACACAACACTATTAAACATTCAAATCAGCTCACAGGGGAATGTGTTGCAGCTGTTGCTGCTGCTCTTTGTAAGGTTGGCTAGTTATAAAGAATAATACATTCTGGTTATTCCATATGCACAATAAGACACATGCGCCGGAAATACAACCATTATGTGACAGGGAACACTGTTGTCCCGTCACAGTATTTCATTTAAAACAATGTTAAAGCTTTAATGGTATCAATCTGTAGAAAATGAGTGTGCAGAAGGGGATAGCTAAGTAGGTTAGAGTAAACTTGGACCAGTAAACTAGCAGTGCTTGGAGTTTTCAAAGATCTCATCACTGCTTTCGTTTTTAATTAAACAGACTTGATGGAGCCAAAAAATACCATCATGCACTGCTCTCTTGTTGTTTCTGTTCTGCAGACAGCAAAATGAATGAATGCATTACCAGCAGCATACAGTGTTCTGATTTTATACCAACGTTTTTGATGCCACCTTCTGGATTTCTGGAGAAACAACAGGTGATCGAACTATCCAAACTAAATTCAGGTTTTTGATTTGTTTATAGGAAAAGATTGTCTCTAAGGATGTTCCATTTTAGGGATGTTTTTCTTTCATTCTTACAAATATTATTTCTTTTTGCATGATGCACTACAGAGGTCAATTTTATTATAGTAAATTGGAAATGAGAAAATAGAAACGTGACCCTTGTTTTATTTATTTTATTGCAGGCATTCCCCATGTCTTAATATAATAGATTTCTATGCTGTGAGCAATGGCATGGAATACACATCTATTTATTCATTTTAGGGATACAACCCCTTCAGGCAGAACTGCACCACCTATAATATACCATATCCCATCTGTAGCATATATTTCTATAATTTAATATGCACAACCTCTGAACTGGACAGATTTAGCAGACTACTGTAGGAGAATCTGATACCTTGTGATGCATCACTTCATTATTACCCTATTGATATATGCCGAGATTCAGTCTATCCACTAAGAATTTTTCAGCTCAGAAATCCTAATTGCCTGGATTAATAAACTATAGGAAAGGAAAATATTGCGTGCAAATATTTAGCCAATATGATTATGATTTGCCATGATACATTAGATTTATCCAATCCTCTTGGTTAATAAACGTTAAAGAGACACTGTCACCCTGATCAGTCAGAGCAAAGGGACAGTTTCTGTGTTTGCCCACCCCCTAACCCACTGATACCTTGCCTGCGCTCCCCCATGGCTTCTTTCTCCATTGCAGCTGACACCAGAATGGGAAAAGTGAGAGTGTCCCTTTAAAATGCCTATGGCTATTATTGGATATTGTATTATTGTCCATTGCTGACCTCCTTATGCAAATGCTTGTTGCCTGGTTAATATGCCGACACACTTTCTGGAACAAGAATACAGATCAGGAAAGTAAAAGAAAAGCCTTAAAGCAGATCTTGATGTAAAATGTAAGGTCCACTTAATACACCAGGTCTTCCCCTATCACAAATAGAAGCTTTACAGTTAAAATAATAGAAAAATAAAAACATATATACACACACCTAACCACCAGCATCTGCACTGCAAAGGGTGATATCATACTGCTTCCATTTCATGAAAAGATGCCCTAATACAGTGTAGGACTGTGTTCCCATGAGAATTTAGATACACAGCATTCCTGTGGATCTAACCATAAGGGGATGACATCACCCTCAATGAGGTGCTGCAGGCAGAAGTCAGGTGATAAGTATATTTACCATTTGTGGATATTGAGGGCATTAAACACACCCAAATAAACTTCAATGTACAGAGGACATGTGTATCATGCCTTGTCTTTCTGCCCTACTGCTGCTCCCCTCCCAACATTTGCTGGCAATGACAATGACGGCCTGGAGTTGCTGTATAAATACAGCACCTATAAAAGAAATTTAAAAAAACTTACACAAACAAAGTAACTTTATTACTTTGTATTTACTCTGGTTCGTTTATCTGTAGATCAAATGAATGAGCTACAACCTGCATATGATGCCATTTAAAGCAACCGGGCAAGTTAAAAAAATTAATAAAGTTTCTTTCGAATTAAACCTTTATTGACCCCTAGTTTACCCTAAACAGCCATAATTAACTCCTTCTTCCCCTTCTCCCTTTAGATATTATTGTCTGCTGATTTTTGTTTGTTTGTCTTTTTTTAATCATTAATATTTGTTTGTTTTTTATTTTTATTCAATGCTTCAGTGTTGCATAAAAAAGTGCAACATTGAAAAACAAAAGTTATCTTTCATTTGTACTGTAGATAACCTTACCATGTTTTGTACCAGAATTATAATTTTAGTGCCACTTTACACAGGACAAGTTATAAAATAAAATGTATAGTTATTTTTAAAAAAATCTGATCACTGTAGAGAAAAAAAGGGAATTTTTTAGTTTTTGCATCTCACTTTCCCACTACCTTTTTTTTTCCTGTAAATCTGCTATCTGTCATTGGGGAAGGGGCTCTATTATTTTAGGTGGGACATTTTTGCAACAAGGTCCTCTTCATGTCTTTATCAACATATCTGTTCTGGGCTAGTAATTCAAAATAATGAAGAAAGGTGACAAGCATGACAGCCAGGCAATCAGCATTTACTAAATGAAAAGTCAGCAGCAGTAGCCTTTGGAGCCTTTAGTCAAGATTCACACACATTTCTCACTGGATTACACATTTTTCAACCTGAATTAGGAATATGAAGACTACATAAACATATTTTCATTGCAGAATATATTGCATTTTGTTTCAGTAACTATAATGGATTTATTATGTGGCCATTTAGGTACAGATCATGCTTACCAAAGTTCATTCTTAATTTCATATGAGGAAAAAACATAATTTATACATTGCATACAATAAACAAAAAAGAATGCAAAAATGTAACATTTCGTGAGTATTAGTAGTGCCATCTGCAGGCTTACAGAGAATTGCATGGAGCACAGAGAAGAATGATCAACCAATAAAAATTATATCAGAATTTATTTTCTAATTAAATAATTCACTCAATTACCATTTGACTGAATGGAAGTGATAATGTACATTTTTCCTATTAAATTTTACTTATGGTAGAATACATACCAACTGAGCGGCAATTTGTGATGAAAAGTTATTAGATAAGTTATTTCTCTAGTGTGATCTAATAAATAGAACTAAGTCAATTACCTGGAGATGAACCATGGTTTGTAATGCCAATCTCCTTATATATTACTTTGCTGTTTGCAATGATATTCCCAAAATGAACTTCAGGATCAATTTCTAAATAACAGGATGGTGTAAACCTGTAATGAAAGCACAACAGTGTTAAAGGCTATACAAAGGCTGCATTGGGGAAACTAATGCAGTTAGCATTTCTCTACATCACTGAGAAAGAGCAGATAATTACCAAAATGTCAAATAATATGTACACTTTTATCATTAAATATACCTCCAACATAGATGTAGCAGAGCCAGTTGGGACAGCCGCCCATGCTCTATATTTGTCTAGGCTATTAATGACGTGGAAAAGCATTGATACTTTTCAGACTTCACTAGCTGCAAGATTGTCAAGGTGTGTGACTCACTACCTAGTGAAGCCAGGATTAGTATGACTGATAGTATATCTGCACATTCGAAAACTAAGCCAGCTATTGCAAGACCCGTATGCTTAGTCCATACAGGGTTCCATTTAAGTGTACTTTTACTGCAGCCAAAGGCACCCCACCCATCTTAGGCTATTGCCCTCATCCTAAGGGTGGAGTGCTGTGTGTAGAGACACAGATATAATTGGGGGGTCCTTGCAAAAGAAACTATTGCAAACAGTAAGGTGAATACCTGCCAGAAAACATAGTGTGGATGTAATACCCCTGCAGGCAAGCCTGGGATCACAACTGTGGAGATGTGGTAGGAGTGCGGTTTTGTCAGTAGGCGGTCTCTTGTATACTCTCTCAGCAACTTAGAGATGTGTATGAGACCGGTAACATCATATAAACCGTTGAGGGGGTTTAAAGGTTTTGAAACGCCACGAATAGGTTAGGAGCGTTATCTGCTGTATTATGTCCCAATGTAACGCCAAGTGGTTTATGGATTTAGCAGGTGAGTAATACAGTTCAAGTACTTCTGAGGTGTGGGAAAAGGCTACTGGATATAAGGAATGACTGAGTACAACTCTTCTCTTTCCTGTAGCAAGGCAACACTCTCCACACTATAGCAAGACAATACATTCATCCACGTTTTGTAAGTGAACTCCCTTTTATGCAGAGTATAGGAAATGTGTCCCTTACAACACCGTTACTGGCAGTTCTTATGAGCAAGGCTTTCACAGACTGGTTAAATTGCAAAATGCAGTGGTAATTGCAGCAGGGAGGCAAGCTGTGCCTCCTGTAACCTGTTTACTTGCGGTTCAGTGCTGTAGGTGTCTCGCAGGGTCGGTCCCTCCCTCACTATTCGGAGATGGTAAGTTAGTGGCTTTGGTGTTCGGGTACACAGTCCCTCGGTCGGTCTGCGGATGCAGGGAAGCGAATCTTCAGCATGCACTGTCACCAACAGTTGGACGCCGAAGATTCGTCTAGCCGCGGCTTAAGAGGCTTGTGCGCGGAAAGGAGGAGCTGGGACGCGCCGTGAGCGTGCGCGATCCCGTATCGCGGTCACGGAACGATCACGGGTAAGTCTCTTACAGTGGACAGTGGACGAAGAGCTGGCAGAGAACATAGAGAAGATGCTGGGGAAAAGCTGCCAGAGAACCTAGAGCGGTCATTAGGAAAAAGTTGCCAGAGAGCATAGAGTGGATATTGGGAAAGAGCTGCAAGAGAATACAGAACAGGTGTTGGGGAAGAGATGACAGAAAACAGAGTGGACGTTGGGGATGAGCTGCCAAAGAACACAGAGCTGATGTTGGGGAAGAGCTGCCAGAGAACATAGAGCAGACATTGGGGAAGAGCTGCCAGAGAACATAGAGTGGATGGTGGGGAAAAACCTGCCAGAGAACATGGCATGGACAGTTGGAAAAAAGCTGACAAAGAAGATAGTGTGCACAGGGAGGATGGATAGAGTTGCCAGAGAACATATTACGTACCGTAGGAGGAGAGCTTCAACAGAAGCTAGTGCAGATACCAGGTAATAAGTGTGTATGATGTGTAGGACACTACAGAGTGCACTGGAAGGAACAGGATTTGAGAGGAGGCACATGTGATTATCTGCTATATTCTGGTGGTAGAATCCTTAAGCAATGAAAGTTATAATCTCCCTTCATAGAACACAGGAGGAAGAATTGAAACACATATGTCCTGTGAGCACGTAGATATGACTGAGTATCATGTGCTTCGAGCAAATGGTTAGGGTTGATCTTTCAGATCACAGAAAACAAGTGGCAGACTCCACAGTAAATGAGTCAATTCCACGGTGGACTTTGGTGTTATGATCACCCAGGACTCTCAGCCAGAGGGCCTAAGAGGTTTCAGGCAGCAAGGATTTTTCTGAATTCTGTTTGGGATCCTGGAACAGGGAGGTTTTCAGGAGGGAAAAAAAAGCTCCAGTCCAGGGTTTAGCCGTAACCAACACCCAATGATTGCACAGATGTACACAGCCCTTAAAGAAAAGGGTGCTAGCTAGGGGAAGTAGCTCCTGCTGGGAAATAGGAACAGATGGTGTTAAGGAGTCAGGACGACTCCCCCAGAAGTCAAAATGGACTCAGGTGGTGTGTGTGTTGGAGGGACATGCAGACAGCCAAGGAGGCTGGGAGAACTGGTGAGGCTGAGAGAGCCAAAAGCCTAAGGAGCTGCCAGTACAAGTGCGGGACAGCACTGTAGAGAAGACCAGTGGATCAGAAGTTTTAATGTTAAGAGTAGAAACCAGGAGGCTATACTTGTGTTGTTTTGCAAGCAGTACATGTATGCTGTACTGAACAACATATATGCGAGGGTATCCAAGGTGGATGTGTGAACTTTCATTTGAATAAAAGTAGGCTACCAGGCCCTTAAAAAAATGATATTGCGAGTGGACTGTGTCCTTAAAGTCTTACCATATGTGCTAATATGCCCAAACATCACACCTGTCAATAGCATTTTAAATATAAAGGAGAGTATCAGATATATGATAAGGAGGCCATTGAGGGTTACCTCTGCCTCAAAAGCAACACTTGTTTCCCTCCTAGCAAGTCATGTCTGGGTCCCCAGATCTCATGGGCTTGAGGACAGCTGCCCCTTCTGTAAGTCCTGTAATTATAGCTTGACCTCATATGTCTTGGATACTTCAACAGCATGATCCCCCAACATGAATTCCTTAGTCTGTTCCTGAGCATCAGGAAGTTTTGGGTGTTCCCATTCAGCACCTCCTGTTTGATTCTCCATAAAAAAGTAAGAAAAGTGGGGATCCCTCGTAATGGCCACAGCATGTGTTCAGATAGAGTAAGTCAAGTGTAGATACAGTATCTCAATAATAGAATCCCGGAGAAAAATAAGAAACTGTCAAGCGACTGAACTCTCTAGCATTACATAAGTGCAGTGACCCCTCATAAGATTCTGATTACTCTTAACATTATACTCGTGATATTTTTTGACCTAGTCAAAATGTCTGCATATTTACATATGCAGAGAGACCACTATGCAGTTACAATCAGAGGCTGAGTTTAATCCGCTCACTGAAGCAACAACCGTAAGGTGGTTTTTGATAAGAAAAAAGAAGACCTGAAGAATTACTTACATCTGTTGTAGAGATAGTAGGTAAAATGAATTATTCAATAATGACACAATTTAAAGCAGTGAGATGTGGAGGTACATTAATATTAATATTTAATGTATGCAGTTTCCACTTCATTCACTGTACAGGCAGGTAAAATTAGTTTCTTTTCCACTTTCAAGAATTATTAATGCACTTCTACACACCTCAAGCTACCAGCATCATAAATCAAATTACACAGAACTGTGTCAGAAAAATCAATCAATTTACCTAGTGTTTAATTTCATTTAGCTTACATTAACTCTATGAAAATGCAGTTGTGTTAAGGATGAGAGTGACCTCATAACAGCAGCAGTATTGGTGATAGAAATAAAGTAACAATCAAGTCTCTGAATGCAGCATTTAGTTTGGCAGCTGAAAGCAATGATGAACTAGATATACAAAGACTGTTTATTGAGTGATGAAGCTTGTGAACCTTCTCCGCTTCATAATAACTACATGTAAGAAACTGCTTACAGAAACAACTGGGTTATTTGTAGAGTGGAGACCCTAAATAAGAGACCCATTTGGCCATTCATGATGTTTTTTGCATGTTTCTCTTCACTTATGTTTAAAGTCTTAGATGAAATCAGACACCATTAAGTGCCTGATTTTACTATTACTAACCAAAAATCCCTTTGCACCCAGAGATCGCTGGGTGTGTGCTAAACATTCTCCCAAGTATTACTAACGCCAAAACGTCTGAAGAGTTAAAATTGCTGTCAGAATTTGTTTCCATCTCTGTCTCTAAGGCAGCTTTCCCTCCACTTCCTGTCTTGTAGACTCAACAGGAAGTGAGAGGATATCTTTTTCATGTTTTCTTTTCCTTACTGAGCTCCCGGATGAAGCTGGCTAGACTTGCCTGGTCATGGACAGCAATATCTAGTTTAAAACGGCATGAGTTTGATTATTGCTCCAGGTAGTGAGATATAATCTATATGGACAAAATTATGTACACCCTTCCAAAATTTTTAGTTCAGGTGCACAAAACTAGGTCCACAGAGACATGGTTTGACAAGGTTGTCATGGAGAAGCTCAACATCTGCACAGAGCTCTGACCTCAGCCCTATGGAACACCCTTAGGATATATTGGACTGCTCATTGTGAGCGAGGTCTTCTTGTGCAACATCAGTACTTGATTAATAAATGCTCTTTAGCTGAGTGGACACAGGTTACCACAGACACACTCCAAAATCTAATGCAAAGCCATGCCAGAAAAGTCGTTAAAGCTGGCTGTAAGAGTGGCCATTATAGTTGCAAGAGGAGGGTGACTCCATATTAATAATTATGATTTTTAAATGGATTCCCCAACAAACTCATATATGTGACGATCAGGTGTCCACAAAAGTTTGGTCCTATGAGTTATTTTTAATATAAAGTTAAAAATAGAAATAAAGTTATATATTTTTTCTCTCTGTGGATATAAATAACATACCCCAGTAGCGGCACATTGATGACATCTTTATCAACAACAACAAGTAACTTGTCACTAATGTCTTCTTTTTTAGATGGCTTATATTCAACAGTTGCTGTTATTTGAAGTCCTGGAGCTATTGGTTTTTCTGTATTCTGCACAGAAAGTGTAAACTGAAAAAAAACACAAAAGGTATTTTTTTTGTTAGTAGGTTTTCACATGCACTGTCAAAATTATGTAAGACTATTGAGCTTTATGTAAGACGTATCTAACAGAAGAACGGTCTGCTTGACCCTCTTAGTAACAAATAAGCTTCTCCCCTTTCTGTTGCTGGGGCAAGTTAGAACATGTAAGGGAGACTCTGAATGGTTGCAAGCAGGGCCGTAACTACAGATCACAGGGCCCCATAGCAAAAATGTGATGGGGGCTTCCTTGATGACCTCTCTCTGAGATTTGAGTAATATTGCCAAGATCCCAAAAACGGCTCTTGTGCATTTGAAGTCATCTCTACACTGTAGACTTCATAGGGGATTAGAGTTGTAGTTTACTACAACCACTCCAACGCTTAACAATCTTCACATCTTCTATATTTAACCACTTGAAGACCGGGGTGTTAAACCCCCTTCCTGTCCAGGCCATTTTTCAGTATTCAGCGCTGCAATACCTTGACTGACATTTATTCCGTCATGCAACGCTGTAACAAAATACATTTTATATAGTTTTTTGGGGGTAGATAGAGCTTTCTTTTGGTGGTATTTAATAACCACTGGGGTTTTTATTTTTTACCATATAAAGAAAAAGTACTAAAAAAACAGTTTTCTCTACGGTATGTTATGAAACATTTATTACTAGCCAACTTTTGGGTAAAATACAAAAGATGGGGTCATGTCACATAAATAGTAGTGTGGTGGTGCCATCCGCAGTCATTTCGAGCACCCATCTTCATCAAGTGGGAATCCCGGTAAGGAGTGCGGTATGGTTCCTGTTTCTGTTTATGTCACATAAATAGACACCGAACAAACCTTAAAATTGTGTGTGCCCACAAAATTGCAAAAAAAAACAAAAAAAACCTACCATATCTAAAATTGTCCATAGGCGACACCTTAAAAGCTTTTATTGCTCATCAATGATAGGAGAAATGATAGGCTTAAAGTGGAAGCGATGTAATAAACATCTCTTCCACATTGAGAGATCAGAGGCAAAATTAGCTGGTGCAATGTGGTGATCTCACCTCCAATCCAGCCAAAGAGATCTGCTGTGCCAGTCCTGGGTCCGCATGAACGACAGCGGAGCCCGGGATATTCGGCAGCGGAGGGAGGGGGTGCACACTTCCCTCACCCTTCCCACACCAGATGGCTGTATAGCCGCCCAAACGCTGGTATGTATCAAAGGCTTCAATTTGTCAAACTTTCTCACTCCCGATCGTA